AAGTGGTTAATAGGTACGTTTCACTTGTCTTTTTGAACAAGGGTATTTTACAAATATATGTCCTCCACACTTCCAGGAGCGTATGTGTTGTATTCTTTGGTGATGCCAGCGTATTCAATTTACATTACAACAGCCTTTCAATTCCTCTGAATATGTTCACAGTGGCAGAATCCGGTACATCAGTGACTACGAGTATACTCATAGTTGGCGGTCAAGATGTCAAGCACTGTTATAAAGCCCCGTGCATCAAATTTTACCCCCCGATTTTGTATCAAAAGTGAATATTCAAGTTCTGTCTGAACTTTCAAAGGCTGCTTGGGTCGCAGTGAGGTGTTTTTTCCTTCTTTCAGAACCTTGAAGGAGCCACAAGGTTACTTGAGGAGGCTCGGAGCAAGGGGACGGAACTCAAGATGCCGGCTTACGATGTCTTAATGTGGGAGAACCTGAAACAAAAGAACTTGGAGGGGTTCTCCAAAGTCAAGGACATGTGAGTACTGTGAGGCCATGGAGACAGTAAAATAAGAACTTGCAGGGGTTCTCCAAAGTCAAGGACATGTGAGTACTGTGAGGCCATGGAGACAGTAAAATAAGAACTTGCAGGGGTTCTCCAAAGTCAAGGACATGTGAGTACTGTGAGGCCATGGAGACAGTAAAATAAGAACTTGCAGGGGTTCTCCAGAGTCAAGGACTTGTGAGTACTGTGAGGCCATGGAGACAGTAAAATAAGAACTTGGAGGGGTTCTCCAGAGTCAAGGACTTTTCTGTTTTAATTTTTAGGTTTTCCTCTGAGTGGAAATCGCTTCTTGTTCTATCTCGTATAGTGGAATAAATCACTTTTTCAGTGAAGACCTGGTCAGCCTTTGATATGAAAGCAATTTTGAAATTATTGTCAAAGGTAGTGCTATCTAAAGTCTTTGGTAAAAATGTGCCATTTCAAGGACCCGCATTGAATGGACTCCACTGATAAAGAAATGCTGAAGCTGTTCTTTAAACTTGAGGTTTGGATCACGGCCTAGCTGTTTTATAGGTTCAAAGATTAAATTCAGCATCTGCGGGGACTATTAAGGGCTTTGGGTTGACGCTCCCTGGGGTTGCATCATCAGTGCAGATGAACATGTCCCGTGTGTTGTCAACGGTTTTGTTTCAGGTGCAAAGATTTCGAAGATTTTTCACTTGGCAAGAATCTCAGGAACAAGATGATAGTGGAGTATCTACAGGTTGGAGACGAAGAAGGTTGGTTGGACGCAAGACTGTTTTATACCAACTGAGGGAGTGTTGATGGTATACAATACCTACACACATAAAGTAGTAATACACCAAGTTATTTGAATAACTTGGGTTTTCAGTCATCCTGTCGAAAATTTGAGCAAGATCTTTTGAAAGGCATATCATAGCTTGAGTTTTTCTACATGGTAGCTTGTATAGACACGTTTGGAGGGAAGTATTTTTAAGGACTTGCTTCTGAATGGACCAGTGTTGGGCATGGGCCCATAGA